GATATAAACTTATCGTCTAAAAGATAGCTAAAAGCCAGAGTAATTATACATTTACATTTACACCTAACAACACTATATCAACAACCAGATTGAATTATTGTTAGCATAAAGTTCTGATATTGAAGTATTTAATGGCTGATCTATGCAGCTGGATCTTAAATTCAAACTCATAACCTAACTGGGCGAAATCACTAAAGCTCATTTTCCTTAGGGAGTGGGGTCTAATTTCGAAACTTTTTTTCTCACCTAGCAGCAAAACCAGTACTTTGTCATCTTTGAGGGGTAGTTTGCAAAGGAATCGTTGAACATCGTCTAGTACTAGAGACAAAAATGAAAAACCGGTCAGTCAAGCAGAAAAAGTAATAGATTGCATCCGTAGGTTGTGCTACAAGCCCTTTTTGATGTGCCGCTTTACCCTGGAAGGAAAATGAGCTTTGCTCTTCTGGGCGCTGGGCGCTCCCGTGGTTTGTGAGAAGGAAAAAGAACTAGTTTCTCAAAGGGAATGATTGGACAAAGAGAAGAAGGACAACTAGTCTTCTTTTGACCAGTAAAGGCAGCTGCCAGACTATTGACTGAAGTCTGCATGTACTGTTATATATCTGCTTTAGAATTACATTTTTTCTTTCAACGTTATCAAGCGAGAAAATAACTTCTCACTTAGTCACTTGTGTTGATCAGTTATAGTTTAACAACGATCTAAGAAAAAGATTATAGTAATATCTTTTACTTGGAGGTATTTGCTACAGTTTTCATTCTTTTAGATCCTAAAACACTCTTCTATGGAACACAGACGGAGCTTTTTTCAAAGCCCATTTGAAAATCTTCATCCAAAATCAGTTTATTTCAATGATCATTTAGTAGAATCCTGCTTAGTGCAAGATATAATCTGATTTTCCAATGTATTAGGCATCTGAACATTGACTTGCTAATTATTTTTGCGCAAAATCAAAAACCCATAAATTATAAACGTCAATTGTGTATCTAGAGGAAAGTATGTAATAACAAATTTTTTCAACATCAATATATCCAAGTCTGCAACAGTGTGTCTGTAAAAAATGTAGATTAAAACAAGGTCGCCCATCAATCTTCTTACTAAAGAAATATACCATGAATAACAGATCGAAGACACAATTGGATAATCTTATGATAATATAATATTTCAATAAGCTGCTTCAGGGAGCAGAAGCCAGGTATCTATGTCACACAAATATATTAAAAATGATATAAGCAGCAGATAAAAAGACTTAATTGGACCAAAAATATTATCACGCACCATAGGTTTGTCATAGAATGGGAATCCTTGCATCCTCTTAAGTGCTTCAGTCGCTGAAGAAACATCCTCAAACACAACCCATGCTTGTCCTTTATGTTTCAACGTCTTGAAGGCTAAGACTTCCAATATTTTTCCAAATTGAGAGAAAACAGCATGGAGTGACTTTTTAAGCTCTACAGAAAGGGGGAAAAAGATCCATGCTAGTTAATGAACAGCTCAAGAAAAGGGTAAGTAACATGAAGTAGCAAATGTTACTAACATGCAGTGCCATATAATATATATATATATATATATATATTATATATATATATATATATTATATATATATATATATATATATATATATAGAGAGAGAGAGAGAGAGATATTAATGGGTATCCTTGTCATAGGAGGCGATTCCTCCTTGACGCCTCTAAAATCACATGATTGAGCGGCATTGTGGATGATCCGCTCTGTTGAACTTGATCTACATAATTCTAAAACCCCAACACACCAAGTTGGGGTGAATCGTCGTCGTTTTGACCCTCCATCGAGCCATGTGAAAAGTTCTATTCATTCAAAACCGTTAAAATTGATATGAGTGGATGAAGGGTCAAACGACGACGCGGTTTCACCCCAAACTTGGACTGTGTTGAGTTTAGAATATTGTAGATCAAGTTTCAACGGAGCGGATCATCCACAATGTCGCTCAATCATGTGATTTTAGAGGCGACATAGGAGGAAATCCCTCCTATGACAAGGATACCCATTAATCTCATATATATATATATATATATATATATAATATATATATATATATATATATATATATATATCATGTCAGCAACTATGCGCATATGCTTTGCGTACCAAGCACAAAAAGTTGTGCTTGGTAGTGATGTGTCACATCCCCCTCCACTCATTCAAATATGGGACAACATTCACATGGGTATTGAGTGGATGAGGATGTGACACATCACTACCAAGCATAAAATTTGTGCTTGGTACCAAGCATACCCATTTCTCTCTCTCTCTCTCTATATATATATATATATATATATAGAGAGAGAGAGAGAGAGAGGTTTTTCTCAACTACAAACCCTTCACTAAAGTAATTGCACTAAGCAAATAAACAGACTCTTATTAGACACTAAGTTTAGAAGCAAGCCACCACACATGCACACAAAGACATACACAATAGAGCACACGCTTCCACAACTCTCTTTAGAAAATTATAATTTGTAATTTGCTGTTAATGAAGTATAGCAGGAGAACCTTGGACATAGAGGATATTGCAAAAAACTAACATTTATTTTGTTTGTAAACTCGACTGAGAATTATATTGACCCACAAAGCAGAGGTCGATAGGGGCCAAAGGGGCCCGAGACCCTTCTTGAAAAAAAAAATCAGGGCTAATTCGTTAGTAATAATTTCATAAATCATAGAGGATAAAATGTAAGAACTCTCAAGACTTTCTCAAAACTCCTCCAATCCTCTCTTCAAGCTCGTGAGTCACGAATAGATTGTGGCTCTACAAACTGCAAGAAACCTAAATGCCAACCTCTGACATCTGCCCCTCATCGGCAAAAACCTGACCAAATCTCATACGCCTGTGTTCCCTCCGCCTCCAGAGCACATCTTTAACCATATCCCATCCTGATTCCGTTTTCTGCCTTTTCCCCTATTTTAGTTTGATTTGTTTAGATTCTAAGGTTTAGTTGGTTGAAGATTTTTGGATAATATGTTCCCTTCTAATTTGAGGGATTAAAGGCTTGATAGGTTTGGTACATTTCATCTGCAATTATAACATTTCAAGCTTTGTCAAGATCCTATGAAATACAAAGGCGCGAGTGGCTCTACACACGGTCCAAAGTGATAAAGCTTGGAATCAGATTTGGAAGCTCAAGAGGCATTCCTATTCACCTTCTCTTCTCTGGCTAGTGCATCATGACCATCTATTCCTTAAAGGACTATTGTTACGTCAACATATTGGATAGTATGGGATGTGCTTGTTGTGCAATGTTGAGTTAAAATCCATACTTCATGCACTAAGAGATCGTAGCTTTGCCTTGTCTATTTGAGTGTGTTTTGTCAAGCCATCTATGTGGACTGGGTTTCACTCTCAATGTCTAGTGGATTGAGTGGATTGGAATTTATCAACACCTAATGTGTCGTTAACTAATTGGGTCTGGGCGTTAAATTTTGCAAAGCTTGTCTGCCTCATTTTGTTTTAGAGGAACAATGTGGCTCATGACAAGGAGGTGGTCGTTCCAACTAATCGTGTGGATGTTATCCAGGATCATACATAGGAAAATAACCAAGTTCTTAGCTTCTTGGTAGGTCAGGTGATATGGTAAGTGGAAACTTGTTGCTTGGAGACTACCTACAGTGGTAAGTGGAAACTTGTTGTTTGATTGGTTTGAGGTGAATGTGGATAGCATCGTGGATGCCAATAGTAGTGCCAGCATGGACAGCTTATTACAGGACAATTTAGGCCAATGGTTTGATGGGTTTCAGGAGAATATTGGGAGAGCTTTGAGTCGCATAGCAGAGTTGTGGGCGAAGGGTATGCTGCTTGGAATGATTGATTTCGAAGAATCATCATCAAGATAGATTCCATTCTTACGATTCAAGCTTTTGATAAGAATAGGCCAGCTGACCCTAATTTAATCTTATGAGGAGTATGAGGAGGTTGTTAACTAAACAATGGGAATGTCGAATTGTGAATGTTCTGCGCGAAGCAAATGGTCGTGCAAATATCCTAGCGAAGAAGGGACTGACACTTGCCATGGATTTCTGTTATCTTCGTCACGCCCCTGTTTTCTTATTGACCTGCCGTATAATCCTTAAGAGCACTTACGTTTTTCTTTAATGAAAGTTAGTTTGGTGGTTCGGCCTCCTCTGGACCAAAGAGAAAATATAGGTAAAGCTTCTCAACAATAAAAGTTTGACTACTGCCTCCTCTTGAGAATAACGATTAGAGCACTTATATTTCTTTTACATCAAGAAAGCTCTTTTGGAGGCCATGATGAATCAGAAAAGTCCTAAACAAAGGTTAGTTATTTAAACTTTTAAAGTATATGTTACGTGCAAGGAAGCTATTAAAAAGTTGTGTTGACAAATGCTCAAGACAACAAATTGACTTCACTAATAATTTAGAAAGATGCTATCATGCCATTTGACTATAAAAACTGTCATCATAGATATTTGCAAATGTTTTATTTGCTATATTAGTTGATGAATCTTGTATTGTATCAACCAAAGAACAAATGGCTATTGCTTTACGTTATGTGGATAAAACGAAGAGCATCGTTGCATTTAATTACAATTGTCTATGTTAAGAATACTAAGGTTGTGACATTAAAAGCAGGCACTGAGTTTTCTTCTTTGCCACACACAGATTGAGCTTGTCAAATGTGGATAAAGATAGCAATATGCAAAAGGAGTTTAATAGTTTTAACGCAATGATGTTATCAGATAATGAATCTGCTATTTACATTTATTGTTTTGCTCATCAACTTCAACTAATATCAAGGTTACAAAAAGTGCTAAACGGTCTAGGTGTTGGACCCAACGCCTAGAGCCTAGGCGCCTAGCCTAGGCGGTTTTCCTATTTTTGGTTTTAATTACAATAAATGATAGTAAATGCCAATGTTATAGAAAGTTTAGGCGTCACACTAGTACCTAGGCAGATTTCTTTTTTCGTTTTTAGTAATGGTGGAGGTTTTGCTAAAAGTCAAAGGAGGTAGAGGATATACTCATAGTTGGAAGCCGGAGGAGGTTGGAGGACGTGAAGGCCACAACTGAGGATATCATGATCAAGGCCTAAATGATGCAGTCCATATTAGTGTTTTAAATAGCGGCCGACATGTCGGACATGTCGGCCGATATGTCGGATCGAGGGGTCTAGCGATATGAGTCGGGCTTATTTGAGTCGTATATCGGTTTTCTAGAGCAAATCGAATATATCGGGGAAAAATCGGACATGTCGGCCGATTTTTCACCTTTGAAAAATCGGCCGACATTCCTTGATTTCGGTTTACAGCATTTTTTGATTTATTGGGTTTGGGTTTTCACAAAACCCAAACCCATTTGACCACTGCTAACTTTTTCAGGGACTTATACGAAGCCGATGAAAGAAAACGAGAAAGAAAACTAGGGCTACAGGACCACCTTCTCCTCTCTCTCTTGAGGGATCTTCAGCCGCCTTCGACCGCCTCGACCGCCTTCAAAGCTCTTCGACCGCCTTCGACCGCATCTTCGACCGCATCTTTAGCGCCTCTTCGACAGTTCGACGACATCCTAGCTCTTCGACTGCGCCGAATCCTGAGGTATGTCTCTCTCTCCCCCCTCCCCCCTTCTCTCTCTCTCTCTCTCTCTCTCTCTCTCTCTCTCTCTCAGCGCCTCTCTGACCGCCTTCGACTCCGTTTTTTTGTGCGTTTTTTTATGTAAATTAAAAGGGGTTTAAAAGGGGTGGGGTTTAAGACCAAGAATATGTAAACAGGAATGCTTCTATGACCGCCTTCGACTCCGTTTTTTTTTGCGTTTTTTAATGTAAATTAAAAGGGGTTTAAAAGGGGTTGGGTTTAAGACCGAGAATATGTAAATAGGAATATGCTCAAAAACAAATTGGGTTTAAGACCGAGAATTATGAGCAGTGTATGATATTTGTATAACAACCGAGAATTATTTTGTTAGGATATTTTGAATTAATTAATATGAAAGATTGATGGAGAACTTGTTGTAACCTTGTCTAATTATTTTGTAGGTCAAGCACCCAAATTGTTTCAGGATGCAATCGAGAATCAAATTTCTACAATCGGTTAGTGATCCTAAACATCATATATTATTTACTTTTTTATATGTTTAGTCTATAAAATTTATAAAGTATACTTATATTGAATTTAGCAATGCTTAGATTACATTTAGGACATGATATTATACATATGTGAATCACCCGATATGGAAATCCGATATTTAGTTCATGTCCCCCGATATATCCCCGATTTCCGCTATCCGACATGGATTTCAGCCGTCCGACATGAACCCGGCCTCCGATATTTAAAACCTAGGTCCATATAAGCATACAATGTAAGCAAACAACGCTCCTTTAGGCGCTCCCAAAACCTAAGTGGGGAGCCTAGGTACAACGTAGGTGCTAAATGCAAGGCAGGCAACCTAGGTACCGCCTAGATCTAGGCGTACGCTGGAAGGGCTAGACAGAGGCTTTTTAAAACATTAATTGATATGTGTTGCCATTGCAAATAAACATGATTTGCTTAGTGAATTCTTTAAACTATTGCTAGGATAATAAAAGTTGCTCAAGGATCATGCATGCATCAAAATATTCTTCGACAAAAACAACTCAAAAGGCGATTGATAGTACTTTTAGAGGTGAAATCAAGACATGACAAGGTTTGAATCAAGATGCAAATTTGAAATGGCCACGAGACACACATAGGGGATCAACAAAAATGGTGTGGTGATCGTTTTGTTAGTATAGGGTTGGGAAAAATGTTGAAGACCAAATAGTGCTAATACATAATTTTTTCAAGTCTACGCAAGATCTTATAAACCGAAAGCAAGACATACATATTAATATATGTAAAACTTCATAACAAAAGAAAAATATTGATTATTGCTTCGCTGAGTACGATTAGAGCAATTATGTGACACTAACATATCTCTAGCTATTTCGAATTTGCTTCTTGATTCAGACCTTGTCATGTCTCAATTCAACCTCTACAAGTACCATCAATTACCACTTAAAGTTGTTTCTCTTGATGACTATATTGACGCTTGAATGACCTTAAACAAGTTGTAATATTCATGAAATATGTTCAAAGAACTAATTAAACAATTTGTGTTTCTTTGCAACTGTTACGAGTATCAATTGAAATTGATGAGCAAAATAATGAATATGTAAAACAAACTCATAGTTGCTAATATCAACACGTTAAGACCATTAAACTCTCCTTGCAAATTGATATCTTCATCATATCCTAGCTCACGCACATTTGACAAGCTCAATCCATGTGTGGCAAAAACAAACTTTTTTGCCTTTAATGTCACAGCCTTTAATGTCAACTGTTTTATCCATTCGTTAACTAATAAAGCAAACAAGACATCATTAATGTCGACAATGACAATTTTATGGTCAAATGACAAAAGCATTGATAGCATCCTTCTAGATCATTATTGTAATTTGTTAGTCTTGGGCATTTGTCAACAAAACTTTTTTAATTTCTTCCTTGCACATAATGTATACATTTAAAGTTCAAATATCCATACTTCTTCCTTAAAGGATTTTTCTGATTCATCATGGCCTAGTAAAGAGCTTCATTGACTTAAGAAATATAAGTGCTCCAACATTCTCAAGCAGACATGACAATTGACTTTTTTGTTGAGACACTTTACCTATTTTAATATTGATGTGTTGCTCATGCTTCATTTGATATTGACAAGCTTTTAAACACTTTGTATGAGCACTATTTGGTCTTCAACAAGTTTTCTCAACCACTTCTTTCTTCAATTACGAAACCCCACAGTAGCAAAATTATCACCATGCATTTTTTGTTGATGTGGGGATTTAAAAAAATACGGAACACAAACACAAGCAAACATCTTTGCTTTCACCATATTCCATCCCACAAACATCCTCTTGAACTGATCTTTGGGAAAATGTCAATCTCTACCTGAAATAACATGAGAACATTGACAAGGTGAAGTTGCTAGTATAGATTGGCAAAGGCCCTTAAGCAAGTACGATCTTGGAATATTTTCTATAAAGTCCCAATCCAGGATCCAGCACAAGTTCATGCCCATCTGGGTTATTCACTATTTACAAAGGTGGTCGTGATGCTGGTAGCCACGTTGATGGTCGCGGGTCACTCTTAACCCCAGCAGAAGAAGATACTTAGTTTTTTTTAATAAATTGTTCAATGACCGAAAATGAAAACAAACCAAACACCACCAATGAATAGAACTCCAAGCAAATATCAATCTTTTACTAAATGATAAGATCACAAGTTAACTCAATTATGAAAAAAATTTGAGCATAATATTACCCAAGAGTCGCATTCATTATAAAACACGATAATTGCACATGAAATTACCCAACACATTAAATCCTTATGCCATCAAATCAAAATTAACAAATTACTCAAAGATCATCAATCAATCAAATCTTGTAACCTAGACAAATCAAACCAAAGGAGGGGAAAAGGTAGGAAACGAACCAGGATGAGATTTGGTTGAGGATGAGCGTTGGAAGCAAGGGAATGTAGTGGACGATGGCAGTGGGAACGCATGTGATTGAGATTTGGATGGGTCTTTAGAGATAAGGGTGAAGGCCGAAGTATGTTGTTTGAGTTTCTCACAATTCGCAGAGTTGCAAGTCATTCGAGACTTGTGAGCATCAAGAGAGGAAGGTAAGAGTTTGAGAAAGTTTGAGGGCTTACATTTACTCCCTCATGATCTACGAAATTATTATTAATCAATCAACCCCTTGACTATTTTTTTTCAAGGTATGTCCAGGTCATAGATGTCATGAATGTGGGACACTATAGAAAACCACAACTCAAGTTCAATCATTCGGAACGAGGTAAGCTAGATGGATCATGTTCTCGCGTAGCCTAGTCCGCCAACTCTAACAATCCAATTTAGAGTTCAAATTAGTTAATATTTGAAAAAAAACCCGTTTGCAAAAATATAAACCACAAAAAGTGTATCTTAATTGCAACTCAAGAATTCCTTTACCATTATCGATCCTTGAATTTAACTCTTGGAGAATATTGTAAAATAAGGCATTCAAATTCCGATATTTAGAAACCAAAGCAAAAGTGTATTGCGTTCCTTAGTGTATCATATAAGCCCACCCCCACGTACCCGATTCCAAATAAGTGGCGTACCACGCTCCAGTTTCCATTATGTGAACCGGAACGAACCGGGTTCCATGAAACTATGGTCTAGGACCCCTTTAGCTCTTAACTACTTCGGCCAATTAACTTATGTGTAGTTTGATGGAATACTTCAGGACTACGCTAGTTTTTCTGGATTATTGCACATTTATTTATCAACCTCGTGTATATTTACCCATATCTTGCATAGCAATGTCTTACAATGCGACAATCTATCTAGGACATCCAAGATTAAAATAGTATTTGAACAATAGGTTGACACCATAAAAATCATATATATGATAACACCATAGCATACGCATGCTAAATAGACCTAACATACGTAATCAAAACCATAAGATGAATGACTGATATGATGAGGTTTTTCTAATACATGTAGAGACACAACTGTGGACTGTGTTGACTCGATAATTACTGTTGATATTAGTGTTGAATCTTAGAAATTTATATCTTCAGGTATGCTAGTGAGTGATCTCATTACAGGAATGGGAGATTCGACTGAGACCGACCAAGACTCATCAGCTTGGGTAGATTGATTTTAGTCAAGAGCCATAGGAGTGATTCTCAAGATGTGGAGTATGACTCAGATAAGAGTGATCCCGAGGTGATTCTAACCGACCAGAGTCAAACCTTTCGTGTGGAGATGATTAAGATGAAGTCCCTGATGGAAAAGAAGACGACTTGTGTTACTCTGCTCAGGACCTAGACTTGAATGATGACTGTCACTTGTAATAGGTGACATTACAAGTGCGGTAGCAAGGCTTCAAGCATTATCCATTACGATTAGGAATAAAGAAGAGCATAAATTGACATTAGATTATCTGCCAATCCAACCTAAAACCCCAAATTTTGTGCCAATCCAACCTAAAGGAGCAAATTTTGCAACCAATTCTGGGAACTGATTCTAGAACTGAAACCCCAGTAAACTTTTCTGAAATTTCTGCATAACACAGAGATTATTAAACAAGAATTTTCAATTTCGGGTTTTGTTTCGGAGCAATCAAAAGATGAACAAGATGATTAGCTAAACCCTAGTAAATAGTTAGGGTTTCTGCAAGAGGCGAGAGAAATAGGAATGCATAGAAGGCGGTGACGTTACCTTCGATCTTGATCTTCTCGTTGAGGTTGTTGATGTAGATGGTCATGTTGGGAGCGACGGAGGGAGTATCACCGGCGGTGACCGTACTCATTGTTGCCGAGCGCGAGTTACGGCTACTCGAGAGATTTATGGCAGCCGAGAGGAAATTTATGAAAGAGATTAATGAGTTCACTTAGGGAGGTTATTGGTCGGGACAAATTGGGGCCATTCGTAAAATTGTTGAATAATTTTATTTGGTACTGCTTGCTAAAGGGTTAAGTGAGCGGTTAAAAAGACTTAACCTCTTTTTAACTTGTCAAATACAAAAAATCTATATAATAATTTATCAAACATAAAAAAATATAGAACGGTTAAGCTAACCTCTCTAGAAGGATTAAAATGAGTTAACCTATCAAAATGAGGGGTTTACTAATACTCCTATTTAGAAGGATTAAGAGTTAACTCTTCTAATTATAAAGAAAATAGTTAAAATTATTATTATTCCCAAACACTGAAACTGGTCATAAGGACTAAAATAAAACTTATTTAACGGGTTAATAATTTAGTCCTTTCAGATTATCGAATGAGCTAAGTACATTAATCATTCTTTTTAACCCCTCTTCCTTAACCCTTTGCCAAACAGGGCTTTAGGATATTTTAAGTGGGATAAAGTGGGATAAGTGATATAATGGGACAATTTGAGCTTTTTATTTGACAATTCGTGTGGGATAATTGATAATATGGCACCTTATTAAAATATAATTTTATCTATTAATTACTTCTAAATTAACTTATCCAATTGGTTTAGTATATTATTTAGTATATTATTATAATATAAATATTATTTTACTTTAAATTAAAATATAATATGTTGTACTATAATTATTAATTAATATTATTAATTATTATATTATATTATATTATATTAGCATGCTATACTATATAATAATTAATATAATATAAGATATCAATATATTTAATATAATATTTTAATATAATACATTATTTTATTTATACAAAAATATAATATGTTATACAATAATTACTAATTAACATTATATTAGTATGCTACATTATATAATAATTGATATAATATATGAATAATATATATAATATAATACTTTAATAATATATTATTTAATTTAATATATTATAATATAGTATCATAGGATATAATGTACTTTATAAAATATTATTATTACTTTATATTTTATATATCATGTCATATATTTATAATATAATTAGCATGTATTAGTTAAATAGTACAAAAAGGTTTGAAAATTATCCCAATTACCTTCAAAGTAGAACAAAATTGTTCCAATATGGAGGATGTGGTAAATTTTAACTATTAGGACAAAAATTTTGTATATGGGTGGGGTAATTTTATCTCAAGTGATGAAATTGTCTCACTAGTGTTCCAAAAAACCAATAACACAAAAAACTAATGTCTTTGTTCAATTGTCCTAATGAATAACACTATAAAATAGAATCCCCAAAATTATTTTATTATCTCACTAATGTTCCAAAAAACCAATAACACAAAAAACTTGTGTCTTTGTTCCAGGAAGGGGATCCCTTCCCCTTCATTACCCTCAATTTGGGGTGTAACATTTTGGCACAAAATTCTCCTCATTCTCCTCCTCTATCCTCCTAAATGCAACTCCGAAACAAGGTTAAAATTACATTTCTCTTCCCCTCCCCCTCTCTACTCTTCATCCAAACAGGTCATAAGACAACAAAAGCTTTTGGATTGTTTCTCGCGAAACTTGTATTAAAGGGGAAGAAAATGGAAATTTACATAAAGAACCCGGTTATTTTCTTGCGAGATTTGGGCATTAATTAATCTAATAATAACAAGTAATTGTCTGATATAGTTTTACTTCTAGAATATGATTTGGAGATTAAAATAGTATATAAAATTGAAATATGAGTACATACTTAAGTTCATGAATGTAGAGGATTTTAACATCAGTCATCTAAATTTAAATTGGTTTTCTTAATATTTTGATATATCCTGTAAAGATCATGAATTTTGATACTAGTTAAAATAAATTTTTTAGTATTTTAAAATATTTAATTATGATTTTTAAAAGAGTATTTGTATTTTTCTTGAATTTCTATAATTCTCTATGATTTAAAGTCTAAGTTTTATATTTATTTAAATGATATTAATATTTATAAATTAATTTTATGGGATAAAAGTTTATGGAATTTATCTGTTGCGTTATCGATGCTATTACATGTCATTTTGAATAATACGTTGTATTATTTTTATTATTACGTATATTTTCGTATAATACGTTGTATTATTAATTACGTATTATTTGTATAAATTACTGTATTATTTCTACTGTTACATATTATCTGTCGTATTAGTATAACTTGTACGTTTTACTGTGTATATAATTATCCCATAATTGTTTGATTTTAAATATAAGTAAATATATTTTATTTATTAATTATTCTCGTTTAATTGTACAATATGAGTATATTTCGACTATTTCGTATTAACTGTTGTTTTAGCACAACATGTACGTTTTTATTTGTAGATAATTATTCTATAATTAGTTTAATTTTTAAATACATGTAATTATTTATTTTAATTATTTTTGTTTAAAAACCCTAGTTTTCTCTTATATATATGTACTAGTTTGCGGCCCGTGCAAAGCACGGTTTTTTTTTTTTTTTTTTTTTTTTTTTTTTCTATATGGTATTATTCGAATTTTTGAAAGTGCTACAGTACCTTTTAAATGCTACGATATACCCGTGTGCTACAGTACTATTTTTAATTAATTATTAGCTATAGTAATAATGCTACAGTAAATGCTACTGTAGCATTTGCTGTAGCATGAACAGTGAATCTCTGATCCTCCTATTTGTATAAAGGAATAGATTGGAGATGATTTAAAACCTGAGATGGAAATGAACAATGTTTAGCAAATTACTCTAAATTTTAAATTAGAATTTTCGTAGAAAAATACCAAGAACTAATTTTTAATGTAAAAACAAAAAGTACCAAGTCAACAAAAAAAGTATCACAAATAGTCAGAAATCTAAAGCTTAGTTACATGATGATACCTAAACATAATTTTAATTATCTGATAATAATGTAAATCATGGTAGTTTATTCAAAAATTCATTGTAATATTCAAAAGAATAAAGGGAAATTCATCATATTATATTCATACTTAAGTTCTTCTTATAGAGGATAGTCCTTTACTAATTTAAAAGTTTTAGTAGTTTTATGCAAAACTTTAAACGTAGTTAGTGATAGTTTTTAAAAATTAATGAAAATAGCCCCACGCCGGAGCTCTTCCCAAGTTCGACGTCGCGCTCCTCCGCGTCAGATCTAACCCGCGCCGCCGACGTCGATTTGATTCGACGCATCGAGGCAAGATCCCGCTCCTTTTAATTCGTCATTTCCTATTTATGTCTGTCGTTAATTAGTTGCATAGATTAGATTGTGAATTGTTATTATTTGCGTGAGACTGTTGATGACGATATTAAAGGATTTCAAATGATAAATTAATGTTTTCTAGATTCATTATAATTATTATGATGAAAAAAGAGATTATTTGAAAAAAGAGTAGTTTTGAATAATTATTAAATAGATAATCTAAATTAATTTATTTTGGGAAAAACAGATTATTTGAATTGTTAAACAATTTTGAGAAAAGATTATTTTAGAATAATTATTATGAATTAAAAGAATTTATTTTGGTAATGGAATCATTTTTTTGGATAATTATATTAAGTAAAAAGAATTTATTTGAGAACAGATCATTTAGAAAAATTATAATAATTTAAAAGAAATTATTTTGGAAAAAGAATTAATTTCTGAATTACGCAATTGGTTGTTCATAAATTTATGACTCTTAATTTCGATTACCTGATTGCTATGATATTATTGTACATGATCAGTTATTTTTATTATTATTTGTTGTGATTGAGAACCATTAGTAGTTCATGACTTAGTGGTCTCGTGCGTCATGAACAGACTTAGTGATGTGTGTGGATGTGTTGACTGAGTTTAGGTGGTGAACCCGAGTTTCAATGAGGATTATGGTTGATTTAGAAAATACAAGAGAGTTGGGATGGGAAAGTTCATGTTCATGTGATTGGATAAGGCTGTTGATGTATCTTCCAGGCCTCCCCATGATCTAGTGTAGCTTGGGGTTGGTTTGTTAGGTCAAAGTGGAGCCGGTGTAGCCACTTTGGTCCGTGAGCTTGATATTGTAAGACCCCGTTGATTTTGATAATTCATACATGTGGATATTAGTGAAACGCAATATTCAATATGTGAAAAATATCTTCATGGCATGGTTGTGCATGAAATCTAGCATTTTTGAGCTTATGAGAATGTATATATGCATTAGTTATGAGGTTGAGTTTGCAAATTTGCAAATCATAAGCATCAGAGTCGAAGAACTCAGTTTTCAACTCATGAGTCGACCCATGACTGTCATGAGTCGACTCATGATATCATCTCCCTTTGTCATAAGCCTCTGCTGAGTCGACTCATAATCTTATGAGTCGACCCATGAGTCATGAGTCGACTCACGACTGAGCATGAGTCGACTAATCGAGGGTTTTCTGGTTTTCTGGGTCGGGTTTGTTTGAGTTTCAGGTCGGGTTTTAACTGTTTATATATATGCTCCTCTACCCGAAAATACTTCATTTTTTCATCAGTTCTCCCCAGAAACCCTAGTCCCCCTCTCTCCTCTCTCAAACCCTAGGTGTTCTTGGTGATTTTGAGACGTTTCAAAGGATTTTTCAGCAGTTTCTTTTGGATTTCATCGAAGGGAATCGTTCTTCATCACATCTGAGACGAGTAACATCTCGCCCAATCTCTCTCCCATGTTTTTATGAATTTATAAATGTTTTTCATGAGTTTTATTGAGCCTAAGACATATTTTCAAATATAAAACGATGTTCTTATTAGTGTAAATGCTAAAGATCGTATGTTTTAGATTTTTAAGCTCCCACCAACAAGTTTTTGATGAAAACACAGATCTGGGAATTTATTTAAAGAACTAAAAATATGAGTTTTATTTTGATTAAATGCTCTTTTTCATGTTTAGGGGTTAAATGTTGGGTTTAACATGCAAGTAATCATTTCTCATGCTATGTATGAATTCTTTCACTGCCTCATAGTTTAGAATTGATAGTTAGGGAGGCGTAGGTCAGTATAGTGGAAGTATGGAT